TAAACAGGCAACCTTATAAACAGCCTGCACACGACTGCTCCCAATGCATGATGTTGTTTAATATACTTACCGATATATATATACAGTGACCCCTCGGTTAACGAACTCAATCCGTTCCAGAAGGTCGTTCGTTAACCGAAACCATGTTCAATGGGTTTTTGGGTAGTGGTTCCAGCTCACCGAAAATTTCCTAAATTCAACAAAATGGTAGAAAAGTTCACTTACTTTGAGGTGTGTATGTAGAAGCCTGGATGATGATGATGATGATGATGATGGGAATTACAATGGGGGTGGAGGAAGAAGGAAGAAGAGGCATTGGGGTGGAAGAGAAGTCACCCCATGGCACCATTCACCCATAAAATTTTAGTTCTCTTGGTGTATTTCAAGATTATTTTCTTTAAATCAACACTGTACTGCATTATATATTGTCAATATGTAAAATATATTTCAAAATGACCAATAATTTGCTTGACACAGAAAAAAGCGTTTAGTTGAAGAGAGTTTGAAGCAAGATGTTACCTCCAGTGAAAACAGAGACTAACGCCTGTTTGCTGTGTTAAGAGGCTGGATGCTGCTTTAAACTAGTCACTTTACCTTCAATTATGTTCAATAATTGTTAAAATGACTAAAAATTGAATATTAAATTTTAAAATTATTGAATAGTATAAACTTCTTGATATTTACTAAAATAGTTAGAATTTAAGCCTAGAACCGATTAATGTATTGGGACTGATACTAAAGCTGGTTGCTGGCAGTGCAAGCGAAACATGTTGAGGTTCGGTTAAGTAGAAATGTTAACCGAATTTTGTTAGATTAACGAATTGAAGATCCTTATGGAAGGCAGTTAAGTAAACCGAAATTTCGTTGACCGAGGCGTTCGTTAAACGAGGGGTCACTGTATATATATATAGATAGATAGATAGATAGATAGATAGATAGATAGATAGATAGATAGATAGATATATATATATATATACAGTGGGGTATGCTGTATGTTTGTAAATGTTAAATCCAACTGCTGGGGCGAGAAGCATGCACGCACACTGGATGTAAACAATGGACTGACTCCGCGTGGTGATGCCACGCTTAGCGGTAGCAAGCACCAAGAAATCCATGTTAAGCAGATACAATATTTAACACACTCTTGACTTGGCTTAAATTTTTTGCTTCCACCCTGTGCTCTCACACTTTCAGACAGGGACAGGAGACTTGAAACAATTTAATTTTAGACCATTGTGGGTCTTCGACGTCATCAAATTTAGTTTGAGAGAATTATCTCTCCTATCAGTATTAGATGAACCTGCAGAGCAAATTTTGAAAAGTTTTGGAATTTTTTTGCAAGCATTATCCTCAAAGTTTATGAGTTTCGTGTAAAAATCTATAATATCGCAATTTGTATATTTAATATCGTCAGATAACATGCACCAGTCTAAAGACCGCCATTCATCATAGGGCATATGAATATCTCCATGTATGCGGGGTACTTCCTTAAGGCGAGGATCCCATTAAGGAGATTAAAAAATATGAATGAGAGAAGGTCTGAAGAAGGATGTAGTACACAGCAAAAATGCTGGACTGCACCACTAAATCTCCTGTGAGGAAAAAGATCATTTCAAAGTATTTTATACTGAATATTCACTTTTACTGTGGAGGTACAATAGAGTACAGTATTGTAGTTCCATTGCAGGGTTTCACAATAACACAAAACCCGAGATAGTTATTCCTCCCTACCAAGATTACATGTTCTAAGAAAAGAAGAAAATATGTAAATATTTGATGGATAACCTTTCTCCTTATAAATATTGAACAATCAAATATTAGTACGACAATCTGAAGGTTATCTGAAGATAGTACTTGATTTTCAAGCTCAGGGGAATAAGGCATCAGGAAATAACTGTACAGTACATGGACAGAATGGACCTTCTTTGTGTTTGGCTTCACCATTTCGGTTACTTTACACGTCACAGACTGACAAAGTTTTATTTCACATTATAATTGATATGGGTATAAATAAAAACACATTTTAATTTATTTTTACAAATATTTATTCATTGTCTGGCTAGAAATTAGCCAAACATAAAATTTCCGCAATTTCCGTATGTCCAGAAGATTGAAGTCACGGCATCCGTAGCGTCGTCATTGAGCGAATTTCCTTACAAAGGTAGCCCTAATTGTGACGGGTGGGAGATCCAAATGGAGTGAGTCGAAGCTTACGAAGCAACTGGAGTTGTTTGTAAGCGATACAAACGTACAAGTTTCTAGCCGCAACTTAACGCTCGTCTGTCAGTAATAATTATGGTGACCTTAACAATGATAATAGAGACAAAGACTTGGCAGTTTTTTAAATAAATTATTGATAATTCTAACATCGTATATTTTGCTTCTTGCCTCCCCAAAAAGAACTAAACACGAACTTGACAATAAAGATTGTCCCCAAATCCACAATTACCTTACTCTAGGCCCGTCTTCCCTTTACAACCATACATCAACAATAAATGGCCTTCATCCCAGAAAATTTTGGAATAATTCATTGACTGTTTTTTGCTGATGAGATACAAAATCCCATTAAAAATATCGCGAGACATTTACTATCTACAAATGCTTGTACGAGCGAGAGTCTGTATAGTTTAAGGTAGACAGTCTTACATCGTGTCCTAAGTTCCGAACATTCTTTACCGTTTTAAATTTTAATTCCGAAAGAAATGTCTTAACTTTGTGACTCACTGAGCTGGAGTTATGAAGTGAGCAAAGTGTTTTAACAAAGAAAAAGATTCACTCTAACCAGGGAAAAATTGTCTTAGTTATGAGGATCAGAATGTATAAACATTTAACACAAAATACAAGTTTCAGCCTTAACTTCTCTCAGAAGGAAGGATAGAAGCTTCATGGTGTAAACATTGAGTGGATTGCTCAACCTAAATGTTATGTATCTAAAAAACATCTGACCTCATTATTTATACGCAGAAGGTTATAATCGTATTATTGACAGCCTCGTTAGTCAGCGTGAGAATATTGTGTATTGTATGCTTGAGCCGCCTGTTAACCTCAGCGGATTTCCTTCAAGGTGGGAAGCTTATGACCCGTGTGCACAACACACTGCATCATTTGAGTTGGTACTGAATATTTAACAATTTTCCGAACTAACAGGACAGTCAAGGACTTGTGTGCTCGTGTCTCTCGGTACAGTATACATATTCTCTCCCAGCTCTGGCATAGCAATCAGACCTCAATGTATCTTGAGTTATGGGGAATAATTTCCTTGATATCAGCATTAGTAGAAAAAGCACTCTTCGTTCACACCTGGACCAATAAGGCGTATTTATATTAGAGAGAGTTTAGAGAACAGCAGCACAAATTAGCATACGGCAATGCTGGCGGTATTCTGTAATAATGTAATGCGTATTGGTAAAACCCATTTTTAATTTTGTTGTCTACTTTTTTTTCCTTTCTTGAATTATATGATAGGCCCACCCGGGCACAGGTCATTTTCAATGACCCACATCAAGGAAACCTGGGGGAGGGAGGGGGATATAATAAAATAATAATAATAATAATTATGATGATAATGATATGTTAATAAAAATATATAAAAGTAAATAACAATTATAATAAAGGAAAATAATAATAATATAAAAGTATAAATTATAAATAATAATAAGAATAGTCATAAATAAATACAAAAATAAAAATAACAGGTGAGAAATGATATATGTATGTTGTGTTGTCAAAGTAAGAGAGAAACAGTGAGACCCTGCAATTTTGTGTAAATGAGGCAGAAATTCAGATGAGCAACCTGGGACTTGGTCACAATTTTTGTGATATACATATGGCAGCAGGGTCTACTATCAGACAACACGTTAATAGCTTCCAACTCTTCTAGATGGTAGTACCTCCTTGTTTGGTAACTTGTCAACTACCTACTACTACTACTTAAGTTACAAGATACATAAAAATGCTTCTATAACACTTCACCAAGAATCCATTCAAGGGTGAGATTTTACAGTCATTCATTTAAAGTTTTTGTCAAGTGTAAACTTTCACCAAGAGAGTTGAGTGATGGTACAAGTATTTCCTGTATAATTAAGAATGTAAGCTAGAGTGGTGGCCAGGTAAGGTTATAGTGACCATCTTAGACAACAACATTAATGATTGCCATATTCAAACTCTCATCTTAAGTGAGCTTAATTCACAAATTGAAACCATACAAGACTTTACAAGTCGAAAAGCTGAAGCGTGAACCTGTACAGCACTTTAAATCATGACCTTCCTGGCCATGATTGATAAAAAAAGCAATATCAATTTAAAGGCGACTTGATACCTGTTAAGTGGGTCCATGACTTTTTAAAGCTATAAACAAGGTAGCACTATAAAATAGGCTGAATTTAGGGTGTTGAAGAAAATAATAATATATATATGAACTTTAAGGCAATTTAATATATATACAGTATAAGGTTACATTATATAACTAATGGTGTGGAATCATATTCATTTTGACAGAAACACAACCCAACACATTTACAATTGTTAGATATGATTTATTCTACTCAGCGAAATACACAACTGCAAACATTGAACATTTTGGCCTCTGTCACACCGAATGAACTTCAAAATTTATATAAATTACTGTATTAATGTTATTTTAAAACATAAAATTAAATTTTATTATATATTATGGAGAATTATAGATTTTGAGGCCTTGCAAATACTGATGTCAGTACTCTCCAGATTAACACAACCACTTTAATATAACTCGCCAACTCGCATGCTTTTATACTGTAATTATCTTTAATAATAAAGACATCCTAAAAATTTTAGAGAGCCGGGGAGGAGGGTAATGTGTAATGTCTGTTTTGTTTCACTGATTCTTTCTCATTACTAAATGGACCAATTCCAACAGAATATTTCTTGTTTGTAAAATAATATTTCATTATACTTCTAGTCATGATGTGTATTGTAAGCCGGCTATGATATAGGGAACAGCAACAAGAGGAGCTGCATTTCTATGGTCTTCGTTCCTAGAATATATCTTACACACAAACTACAGTACCTTTACACAATAAAACAGTGTTCACAATAATTGATACTTTAATTATATTCCATAAGATAATGATAATAAAAAATTACACAACTATAATTCAGTATTTGTTATTCTAATTGTTTGTGTGCAAGAGCCAGCAACACACTGCAGTATAGCATGTGCACACACTTACACTACAAAGGATTTACCATTATTCCTTCTTCTTATTCATTCCACTTTCTAAGAATTGTAATGTTAATTTACACTTAATCTGGGTTTCTGTCAGCACTAATTTTCAGTTGTATATTCGATCTCAAGATTGTGGAAACAAGAAGTCGTGCCAACGAATGTAACATCATCGTCTTGTGATACATTGATATTGCTGTTTCTAACTGCAATGGAAGCTGCTTCAATGTTTAATACGAAGTTATAAATCACGCCAGGTACTAATTTAATGGGTCTCTTAAAGTGACAAGCTGTACCTCTCCATGTACCCTTACCAATTTCACCATTTGAATCATTCACAGTCACAATGCCTTCTTTAAGGCTTGATATAAATGCAGATGAAATCTTCACCACCAATACTGCCTTGGTTGTCTTGAAATTTTGAAGCAAGTGATGATTAATTGTGGTATAATATATAAAATTGATGCTAGTGCCGTTGTTCATCTGGTAAATTGACAAAACAACAGATTTTATTCGGGATGGATACCGCTTCTTCGCTGCAACAGAAGACACAAATTTGGGCAGAGTACAGTACATACCTTCGATCCCTTGCAAAATAATAACACCCTCTTCTTCAGTGACAATGCCCGAGGGTATCACATATTGAATAAATTCTTTAGCTGTCATTGTAAGGAACCTTACCAGAGGAGGATCTTCCACTATGGACGAAGTTTTGGTATATGCATTTCTTGTTTGTACTGGTGCTTCTCAACTGCTTCTTCCTCTTTCTCATTTTCGTCCTCCTTTGCAGAGATGCTCTTGGGTGATTCTTTCTCAACTACAGGTGAGTAAGTCACTGGTCCCACAGCATATTCAGCTTTCACCTGACTTAAGCCCCTGTAATGTTTAAGAGTGATAATAATTAGAAATGTGAATGTCCATCAATGAAAATTCTGTACTGTACTATGTTAGTGAAAATGTATAAAAAAATAAAATAAAATTTCAGGGTCATATTAAAATACCTGTATAGACGTTTTAACCTGTCGGTAAGACATACCATATGAGTTTCAGCTGTAATATATAATTTGAGAATACAGCTGGGGGGGCCGAGGAGCGTAAATTTTTAAGGTCATTATTACTAATCCGTGTATAAGACAGAGTCCTACAGTGATGGAAAAAAAAAAACTTGACATTTCTGGGCTGACTTTACACATTATTTCTTAACTAAATACTTATAGTTTACCAAGACAATAGGGCAGAGAAGACATTTGCCTCTGAAGATACTGCAAGTCTTGGGTGGCTGAGAAGCTGCTTTAGTGATGATGATCGAAGATACGTGATGTTCTTGGATTTTAAAACTTGGTCAGCGGCTGTTATTAGCATAAAACAAAAATAATTTTGTCAACAATATTATCTAGGCTTGGCCCTTAATGGTGGTTGTTAGCACCTTAAAAACAAAGAATTTCATGTCAATAATATTTACTAGGCCCTTAATGGTGGTTGTTAGCACCTAAACAAAAGATTTTCATGTCAATAATATTTTCTAGGCCCTTAATGGAAATCTAAGCCAAATTTACTCAGATTACACAAGATCCCCCAAAATTAAGTACAGTATTGTGAATTAAGTTCATAAAACTGTACAGGTCAGTACTGTCCTTCTAATTCTGCAAATTGTGCTTTATATTTTGGATACAATGTTGCACTAGTTGTGGACATAATGTAAATGTGTTTTATGTCATAGCAATACAATCTTGTGTCTGTTATAGTATATTATACCAATCGAAACTATAACACACAAGTCCTGAAACAACCGAGGACTGTGGGATGTGGTCTCATAATATCTGTTGACAAGACGAGGGTCCTCAATCCTCGTCCTGCTCACTCTCTGCCTCTTGGATTCTTAACATTACCCATGCCTTGAACTATGTTCCTATAAATATCTTAGAATTTGTGAATGATGCAAACTTTGTCGCAACCTTCGTGGCTAAACTAATGATTAAACTTCAAAACCCTTGTTGACAAGGGCTATGAAAATAACATCACCAAGCAGTATGTTTACTTTTATCTTCACTCATTCGTTCCAGAAGCGATCATCATGCTTCCATCTTGTGAGACTATTCCAACTAAAGAACTCAACATCCTTGAGGAGTAAAATGAAGCCATGTGACTTCATTCTCTAGGATACCCAAAATCAATCAGAATTGTAAACATGAGGAAAGAGTCGGACTGCCTCCTTATCCGGAGGATAGTTTCACTTACTACCATGTTCGTGTCAAAGTTTTGAAGAACAATGGTCTCCAAACTACAGCTCAAACTGAGAGTTGATGTTCTATATAAGTAATCTCGACTATTTCGTTAACCTTCCACAAAAGACTCTCTTTGGGGCGTGGCTTCATAAAAGAGTTGCAGATCTCTTGAAACTGAATGTCCCAATCACCCCAGACGAACCCATTAATGCCATTCCTCCTTGGCTGGATATATCAGTTCCTATTAATTACACTCCTGTTGGTGGTAAGTAAATGTTAAACACTGATGCGATTAGATGTGTCACACTAGAAACTATTAACAGACACATAGAGAGTATTAAATCAAGGGAATGTTATGCTTTTACTGATGGTTCTGTACAGACAAACACAGGTAGAACAGGCTGTGCAATTGTAATATATGAAGAAAAAGAGATGATAGTGTCAAACAAGCAACGGCTGAACAACTGGGCCAGCACAACACAAACTGAGCTAACTGGAATCTACTTAGCCACAGCCTACCTTAAAGAAAATGGAGGTGGGGTGATATTCTGTGACTCTCAAAGTGCTTTGAAATCAATGAACAGCCCGTCAGGTTCTATGTCTAAAAGAAATGTGATAACTGCCAATGAGAACAACTCTCGTATCGAATTTGTGTGGATTCCGTCCCATGTTGGAATTAGGTATCATACCGTGCTGATAGACTGGCCAATGAGGAATGTAAGAAGGAAAATGTTGACCGTGACCTTGGCCTGTCCAATACCGTACTTAAAAACAATCAAGTCAGAATTATGAACTCTGATCTACAAGAACTGAGAAATGCAGAGAGACCTGGCAGTTGTAGCATTAGTATATATGACAAATTTTGTGACGAGAGGTACCGGTATGGCCAGCACAAGGACAGAACCAGACAATGTGATGTAGTCGTGGCCAGAATTAGGCTAGGATACAGACACATCTGGCAAGTTAGTAACGCTGTACCCATACCGGAACTTTCAGTAAATAAACTTTGTGATAAACCTTTAAAGCATACACTTGGACACTATATTATTGAATGTGACACTGTCAAAGACTTCAGGCCACCTGGCTTATTGTATCATGAACTTTGTAATTACTATATTGAATCGGGGGTGCTTGGGGACATTCTTGCTGTTTATCCCAAATTTGCTAGCCCACACTGATTAGTCTTCAAATAGAATATGACGTCCAATGTATACGAACCACTGTCTTGCATGGCAGCAAACAGTGACATCACCTAAATGACTCTGACCTATATATACTGCTAATAAATATGATGCATTTCTTTGTGTACGAACCTCTGTCCTGCATGGCAGTGAACAAATGACATTACCCAAATGAATCTGACTTATATATACTGTCAATGAACTTGATGTGTTTCTTTGTGTACGAACCTCTGTCCTGCGTGGCAGTGAGAAGTGATACCACCCTCAGTGTCAAGACCTGACTGGATTACTCGGAATAGGCAAACTGTACTCCAAGCTTTGTCAATAAATTTGTTAAACTAGAAAACCCTTCTTTGTTATGACTCATAATATTGCATTCTTTATACAATTCCAAAACAAGATCATTTGCACACAGTCAGTCTCTGTGCAACAGTTTTTCCTCATACTGTATCAACCGTTGACTCATACAATATGAATATTAATTACAATACAACTGGACAGACAGTTAGCAAGATAGTGAACATTTACAGGAATTAACTGTCATTAAAAACTATGTAATAGTCATATTTGTGTAGTGATGCAGCTTCATCTTACAACATGAGAATCCCTAACAGCTCACCTCCTCACATCGTTGGAGTAACTTATGATCATCGAAGAAGAGAGCGGTGTCATAAACAAATGGAAAGTTCTCCTCGGTAATTTCTTCAGCCAGATTCTGGAACAGAAAGAAATATTATCAGTAAATTGAGAGATGATTGTAGTGATATTTATCATCATCCAGTAGTGTCACTTAGTAAAGACCTAAATATGATGACCAGGTGCTGTACTGTATATCACAGTATCTGTGGAAGAACTTTCGAAATGTCTGTATTTTCTTCATTGGCCTTTCACCATCCACCATAAATTTCAAATATGAATAGGTGTACTGTACGGGTAAAGGTGAATCGTGTACTGTGCGGGTAAAAATGAATCGTGTACTGTAGCGTGGTAAAGGCAATTATGTGTACTGCCCGGGTAAAGGTGAATCGTGTACTGTCACGGGTAAGGTGAATCGTGTACTGTCCGGTAAAGGTGAATCGTGCTACTGTGCGGGTAAAGGTGAATCGTGTACTGTACGGGTAAAGGCGATTCGTGTATAGTCTCTCCTCAACTTACGATGGGGTTCCGTCCCGACGACCAGGTAATAAGTCGAAAAACAAAAATAATACATAGAAATTCTAAAATGGGTGTCTCTTTTTCTTCTCGGCACCACGAAAACTCTCACTTTTATGCTTGCCAGCCATTTTAAAGGGAATTACAAAAAAAAAATTGTCAGTACCGTACACAGTAGCGATCACATATGTCGGGACTAGAAAATACATGTATGGCTGACGTTGATAAATTACTGTACTGTAATTTCAACTAATAAGATTCATGCTGCAATATTCTTTAACCAATACACTGTACAGGTACAGTATCTGGTAGTCCCAGCCATCCTCTTGCTTCTTCTCTTACCTCTGAACAAATCTGACAGATTTCATCAAGTTGATATTTGTGTGCCAGATGGTACACTTGATGGGTGAACTCAACCCCAGTAAAGTTGATGTTATTGCTGTAGATATAGTCAAGCAGGCATCTGAAGGCTTCAGGCTGGTCATCATTTAGAAACAACACGTCTTTCTCTGCCAGGGGCCCATAAAGCATCGCCTCAAACACAGGTGAACTCATCGCCAGTATCAGTCGATGAGCCTGCAAAAAGTTATTTCACCGACTTAATTTTGTAATTCCATAATATATACCCTTATATCTCGGCCTACAAGACGGAATTTGAACAAAAAGAAAATCAGCCCAAAGTTAGGGGGTCGTCTTAAGCACCAGAGATAAAATTCTTACCTCTTAAATTTTGCGGTTTAGCGTGTCAAGAGTGGTGATGGAAACATGGTAAACCACTCACAAGGTCCTACCACTAATTATTTTATACTGAAACTTACATTTGGGAGCTGGATTAAAATGAAGATTACGGTATATTAAAATAATAAAAATGTATTATAAACCAGTCTAACATACCGTAAAAGAACAATATACCCCGGTAATAAACACAGCTGCTATCATCACCCCCATTTGCCAGTAACGAGAAGAAAGCGACCTTGACAGTGACCGCCTGTAGCTATTTTTTAGCCGTCCTTGTGTTCGGAGGTGGTCAGTAATGCATATCTGTATATTTACTGATCATAATACTTATCTCCTATAAATAATTAATTTAAAATTAATTTTTTTAAAGAATATTCAGTAAATGACTGAGGTTAATTCTTGAAACTACCGACAGTGAGGATGAGAATGATTAACAGGAATCCACGTCATGGATTCGGAGTTTGGTCCTAATGATCATAAATGTCTGGTCAACTTCACCTACCAGGTATAATGGTAGCCTCCCTTTTTCGCGAAACAAGTATATAATTAAAGAAAATACTTGCAGTGTGTTTAATGTATTACAATATATTATAGCTAAATAAATAAACAAATAAATCGGCAAATCTATTTCAAGTAAATGGAAATATTTTACTCACACCAACATTAGTTCCAGTTAAATAACTGACGCTTAAGTGAGTCACTAGTGTACAACAGCGGGTAAAATTTGATGCCAATACTTGAAGTGAATTGGCATTATTTTAAATAACCAACCATAAATAAATGGAAAAAAGATCAAAGTTGAAACATTATATTGTATGTATGTTGTGTTGTCAAAGGAAGAGAAACAATTGAAACTCAGCAATTGTGTGTAAATGAGGCAGTAAGATAAATCAGCAACCTAAGACTTGGTCACAATTTTCGTGATGCCATATGGAAGTAGGGTCTACCATTAGACAATACTGTACATTATGCTTCCAATATCTTCCCAGGCAGTAGAATCTCCCTGTTTGGTAGCTGCCTAAAACTTTTAGTAATATTACTTTGATACAACATGATAAATTTGACAAACAATGAAAATAAACAAACAAAAGTTATTTACCAAGACCTTCTCTCTCAGAACAGAGGGGAGATAAGACGGCTATTTATAGCCCATCTTTGTGTAGGAAGTCGACCACACTAGAAATAATTCATTTAAAATTTATATTTTTTACATAGAATATTCAGTACATGACTGCAATTATAAAATATTGTGAATATATATATATATATATATATATATATATATATATATATATATATTTGTGTAATAAATGTATGTAGTAAGTATGTACAGTAATCTTTTTCACTCAAATCCTAATGAAACACTATTGAATTAGAATACTGTAGCTCGCTGAAGCAAGCTTATAAATTAAAGAAAATACTTCCAGTGTGTTTAATATATTACAGTATGATATAAATAAACAAATAAATCGGTAAATCCATTTTAAGCAAATGAAACAATTGTATTCGACACCGACATTAGTTCAAGTTAAATAACAAACTTTTAAGTGAGTCACTAGTGTTTACACTACACCAACCGGTAAAATTTGATGCCATTACTTGAAGTGAATTGGCTTTATTTTAAAAAACCAAGGATGTGTAAACAGCACTGGTCAATGGGATGGTTGGTAAAGGACTACTGGGTCAGTAAGCTCCCAATGGTAAGTGTCACATTTGGGGTACCGGTCTTATACAGCGAATAGGGCTCAAAAGCTACTTTTTAAATGGAAATTTTGGGGGCCGTCTTTTACACCCCGTCGCCTTGTAGGCCGAGATATACGGTAGACATATTCACACAGTAACATCATTACTGTTATTGCTTTACTTATAGATACAGTATAGGGTTTTGCTTTTAGAAAATTATTCTTATATAAATGTTACAAGAGACAAATGAGAAAACAGTTCTGCCACAACAAATACTACTACATAAGCGTTTTTGCTATCGTCAGTTCCCTTTTTTATGTTGAAATTAGTTCACTTCAGATGAATTGACAGCAGTCTTGTTTAACCCGGTTTCTCACTCTTATACTTCTATGTGGAGTAACCAGGAGTTGTTATGAGTAAATAATTCTGTGCATATAAGCTAAATAAAGTCTTAATATAACTACATTACAACACGTGTTTAATTATGGGATACAGGTTGTACCTCTCTAGTCCGGCAACCTCGGGACCTGACCGGTGCCGGACCATGGAAATTCACTCTTTTCCTGGATAGATAGTGGCTTATGCTTGGAAGCACTAGCACCACTTTCTCTGCATCATGGTCTCTTTGAAGACATATTGAAGGGTTAAATGTCATATAGTAGCTTCTCAAATTTCGCGAGTTTTTAATTCTTAACGTATTTTATTGGAACACAAAAAAATAAATAAATACAAATTTTGACGGCGGAAACTTGAATTTCGACGGGTTTGAACGGCCCGCCAACGTGCAGACGACGTGCATAATCGTGTAAACAGCGTCATTTCTCTTATGTACAAAAGATTCATTATTATTTATTACTGAATGTCTTTTTATTGAATTAATGTTTGTGTGCAAAATGAGCATTACAATTCATTAATAATACGTAGAATATTAAAACACACGAGGAAATGACACAGCATTGTTTTCGTCGATTACAAAACCAGTGACTGACTGGTTCTACATATAAAACTGAAGAAAATAAGACCTTGGTTGTAGCTGTAGTAAAATTAATATGGTTGTTTTAAGTGATGTTATTTAATGTTAATAAATGGAACAATAGAAGTAGCTAACGATAATGGTAAAGAAAAAAAGAGAGATCGTGTATGTAAGTGCGCATGCGCACACGTGAAAACATATCGTCATTACTTTACATAAGAATATGAAAGCAACACTTATTTACTGTTCATATATATTTTAATTAATGTTTTTGAATTTGTTTTTATTGAATTAATGTACGTGTGTGCAAAATTAACAATACAATTTATTAATAATACGTGGAATATTAGAGGAGACGAGACGGCTGCCGGCATTGTTTATGTTAAAGCTTACGAAACCAGTGACTGATTGGTTCTACATATAAAACTGAAGAAAATAAGACCCTGATTTTAGCTGTAGTAAAATTAATGTAAAAAAATAATATGGTTGTTTGAAGTACCTGTAATGTTATTTAATGTTAATAAATGGAACAATATAAGTAGCTAACCATTAATGGTAAAAAAAACTGAGACTGCACGTATGTAAGTGCGCCCATGTGAAAACATATCGTCATTACTCTACATAAGAATATGAAAGCAACACTTATTTACTGTTCATATATATTGAAGGGTTAAATGTTGTACTCTGTATAGACAAACAGAGAGAGAGAGAGAGAGCCGAACTGCCGGATGTAAACAAACCTTAATTTCCCGCGGCTGTTTTTTTTTTAAGGGGATTAGCCCACCCGGGCATAGGTCACTGACCCACATTGGGGCCTGAGGGGCAAAAATTTAATACTCCTGTACACTGCCCTGCATAGTTTTTGAGGTTCATGTATTATTAAGCTTTTCTGGGTGTATTTTGCATGCTGATCTCAAAAATGTTATCCATTTTGCTCAATCAGGTCAGAATTTTGTGCTATAGCATTTTAAGCGGAGATTCAGGTAAAATATTGGCATTTTTCGCTCAAAATGGGGTCCTCATATTCGTTCATTAAAAAAATCATCCGAGACATTGGCAAGCCTCACAGAAAAGATTTCGGTCAGTTTTAATGCCCTTACGATGCATTTAAATACACCCATGTGCTCGCCGGCCATTTAAATGTCCGCCGTGACGCAAAGGAAAAGAGTATCTGTCCGTGTTTTTTTACATATATTTTTTCACAATTAAAGTTTTTTCATCTGGTGGTACATGGCATGTACTAGCAACCACCCCGATGTGCCTCTAAAGTCTAGACCCTCAGTCAGTGTCTCTCGAGACTTCAAGAAAGTGGGAGTGTGTGCGTCTCTCTCTCTCTCTCCACAATTGGAAGATCTGTGGAGACTTGAAGGTAATTTAATACACCAAAAAACAGTTGCTTTCAAAAATTGATATTTTGTTGACAGTTTTTCTAATAGGTAATTATGTCTGCCGACATACTGTCATATTATGAAGTGTTAATATTTTTTAATAATAAAACTATTCAGCTAAACATATTTTTAATCTGTTTTTTCCACAGGTTGTGTCCATGGTGCTGGGCCTACAAGGTGGTTACACCAAGTTTCCATGTTTCCTCTGTCTGTGGGATAGTCAAGCAGACAAGCAGCACTACATGCAACGTGACTGGCCTGCAAGAAGTGGACTTACTCCAGGTTCTCACAATGTTGTTGCCCATGCTCTGGTGAATCCGCAGAACATTCTTCTTCCGCCACTGCACATCAAGCTCGGTCTGTTCAAAAACTTTGTAAAGGCACTGGACAAAAAAAGCCAGGCTTTCAATTTTCTGAAAGAAAAATTTCCAAAAGTCAGTGAGGCAAAGCTGAATGCAGGAATTTTTGATGGCCCTCAGATCAGAGAGCTTTTCAAAGATCCCAAGTTTGATTGCAGCATGGATGTAAATGAGAAGAAAGCCTGGCATGCCTTTAAGTCTATTGTCTCCAATTTTCTTGGCAACTTCAGAAGTCCAGAGTATGAACGAGTTGTTGAGGACCTACTTCTGAGCTACAAAGTTCTTGGTGCACGCATGTCCATCAAGATGCACTTCCTCAGCTCCCACTTGGACTACTTTCCAGAGAACTGTGGTGATGTGAGTGAGGAACAAGGAGAACGCTTCCATCAAGATATCCGTGTAATGGAGGAGCGGTACCAGGGTCGCTGGGATATCAACATGCTCGCCGACTACTGTTGGTGTCTGAAACGGGACGCCCCAGACACCAACCACCAAAGAAATTCTCTGCGACAGCCATTTATGCATGTCTAACTGTAAAGGCATCTATGTAGTTGACATATTTTGGTCCTATGTGTTGTGGTTACATTTCTTATGATATATTTTGCATAAAAATTTTGACATCATATTTAAGAATTTCGATTTTTTCCTAATTCCCATAGCATAAAAATTTGACCTGATTGGGCAAAATGAATGGCATTTTTGGAATCAGCACGCAAAATACATAAAGAATCAGCTAAGAAACCCCGCACCTCATGAATTTTTTTTCAAATGCAGCCCAGTGTAATAATTCAGATAAGTAAAAAAAAAAAGCTGCCTATCTACCTATTGGACAAACTAAAATCGTTCCGGACCACGGGAGTTTCCGGACCACAGAATGCCAGACTACAGAGGTACAACTTGTATTAGCATACCACTCGCTACACCGGCATTATCACTACCAAAACTGCATTAAAACAAGCTAACCAAACTTTCTTTCCATGGAATATTATACCAGAATGGTGTACACTGTAAAGTATTATACATGGTTAAATACAATAATCTTCACTCATTACAGGGTACAACTGATCACCTGAATCTCTGTCTTGTGGCCAGGAAAGGAAATGGTGAGGTCAGATAGTTTTGTAGACATCCTGAGGAAAGCAAGGCGCTCATTTATGGTGGCTTGATGACACTGCCAGTACTTGTTTCCTGAACTTGTCATTATAAACCTGAAAAAAAAAACAATGTTATGGAATGAATAATAATAAAATGAACAGAACCTTCAACACCTTGTCTGATCTTTCCCTAAACTTTTACTGTTAAAAACTGGAATTATAATGTACTGTATAGTATAAACTTCCCTCGGACCCATGACCTCCAGTGGTACTGTAGTGGCTCCTCTCCCCTACAACTCCCAACTGAGCTCCGGCCGCGCGCCTACCAGCCAATCAGCGTACAGCCAGCTACGCCGAGAGACTAGGTCTATGCAGAGGACGTAGGGGTACGATCGCCGACCTAGTCTCGACCTTCAACCTCCGGTTCAGGATCAGAGCATTTCACACCTTACGCTAAAGCCGCTGTGACTGGCCCTCTCGCTACGCTCACCCCAAATCCTGATCCTCGTAAATTGTATAAATACGGCCATGCCTGGCCAGGGAGACCATTCTACACTCGGCTACTGGACCAGCAACATCTCTCACAGCTCCTCACCACTCAGCTTCCTCAGAAACCTCCTCGCCCTACGGGACCTCTGAGCAAGTTTCTCCTCACCTAGTCACTCCTAAGCACTGCGCTGTACAACAATATATATACAGAAAGCGCATTGTGAGTTTCTATCCTACCTCATTCCTGAGTGTGAGATATCTACATGTACGTACGTTTGTGTGCCCATACAAAGAGAATTGACAACTGGCCACATACGGTACACTACAGTACAATACAGCATGGTTAATATCCAACCATTATCACCTGCTGTGTTTCATACAAGATTTTGCATTTTATTATAATTAATACTTTTAATATTTCTCCTTAATCACCAAACTCAACCCAGTTATGACTTTACATCCTATTCAACGTAAGTGTATTGTCACTATCAAACCATTATTTTTTTAAACATGTTCCAAGAGATTCAGTACAAAATTAATTTATTACTCCCATTTTGTCTAGAAAAAACAAAAAACTTGTATGCTGTAGTTTCTTTTTAAATTGATTGCTTCTAATTTACTCTTAATTAATAATTTAATTATCAGCTTACTAGCAATTGTTCGGTAGTAATAATGTCATGGTTGTATTTTGCCTTAACTCATTTGACGAGTTCCGGTCAACAACCTGATTTGTTATAACGGTTACAAGAGGACACCCCGATTTACCTATAAAAAAAACCATGTGATGTATTTTTTTTTATTGGGCACACCCCTACATCTTTTTCAAAGGTGAAGCACATATGCGTTTACAGCGCCCAACAGGGAAGCATGCTAAGTTCATGCTTGCCCTTATGTCTCATGAGTTAAGGGCGTAGAAGCCTTTAGAGTCAATGGTTTATGTCTAAGCAAGTTATTGTAAGTTCCAACAACTTGTCCCTGAATACGAATGCGCAACTTTCGACTTACAGCAGGTACATAGTACTTTGCTGCTAGGTGAACAGGGACCAAGGGAGGCTGGGAAGTATGTCCGAACAACTTCTGCTGGCCCGGGAATCGAACCCGTGATATCTTACTTGCGAGGCAAGAACTCTACCACCAGCTCCATCCCCCTGTGATGTATGGGAGTCACACTGGATAACATCCCTTCTCACATCCGACCTGGGGATCGAAACCCCCTCCCTCCCCCCCCCCGTATACGGTGATGAAAAACTTACGTACCAACATCGAAAACGAGTCATGTATATTGTCTCACCTCACGTCCGGTTTCCTATGTTATCTCCTGAATTCCCAACCTGGCAAAGGCCACAGGGACTCACTTTGTCACCAGAAACGGCGTTTGCTGTCAAGGAACAGTGTTCGTTTGTAATTGTTACCATTTTACTATGGCTATGTGCAAAATTCCGCATTGGTTGTAAATTTGTAATTAATCTGTTTTGATTTAATAATGTAAATGTAAGTCTATAAGGCATATGGCCACGACCGTGAGGGCTTTGTAATAGTAACAATCTTGATAAAATTTGCTTTAAATAATCTGTAGCAGAACTTGGCAACAACCATGCGTGCGCAACTATCTAGGAAGGCGGATGCCCGCCCTGCCTCACCATGAAGCATGCCTCACACAACGATCAGTTTCCAATACCTTCTAAAATTTTATTATGTAAACAATTCAAAGATAACAATAATGTACTTACTATTGAGCAACGCAACAATGTTAAAGGTATCTGCTGGGCCTACGTTTACGTCCCCTTACTGCACTGAACCACTGTTATCTGTTCACCTCAAGTGTCTGAGTGAATGACGCTGTTGGCGGCAGGGTTGCCAACTCGGATTCTCAAATGTCGCTAGGCTGGTACCTAAAAGTAGCTAAATGTCGCTAAATCTTCCATGGAAAGTCGCTAGTTATTATTCCCCCCCTTCAGTAATTTGATGCAAATAATATTTTCATAATGCCGACTATAATGGACGGAGTATAAATAAAATGCATTATGTAAAAATAAAAATATTATTTTTTTTAAAGTTTAATGTGCACACTTACCTATTATTCAATAGTAATTGCATCTCAGTCCTCTCTGTAGTCGTCGGCAGTGTGAACAACTGTAGAGCTGGAAGCATGTGAAGTGCTTGGTTCAGGTTCTCGTGCAGATATCTTGTAACTGTATGCCTCCACAGTCCCTATCTTTCTTAAAATATCACTAGGAAGTTCATAACTTGCACAACAGGTGTTCTGTCTTTTTAACCCATACTTTATTGTAAGAATTGCCTTTAATGTCGATAGTTTCATTTTGTTGCGCAATTTTGATTTCACAAAGTTCATATTACTAAATGTGCGCTCTACATCTGCGTTTGAATGCGGAAGAGATAAGGCAGCGAGTGCAATTTCAGCCAGATCATGGTAAGGGTTTTCACCTGTCGCATCTCTGTAATTTGCCACTTCGCGTGACTTCGGACCACAATTTTAGGGTGTTAGATGCATGGACGGGCTGACATCAAGTGATCAGGAAATAGACGTGTCCCTCCTTCTGTACCACGACCCGTTCAAATGCATTAAACTTTTCTTATTATATATTGTCCCTGTAACCCCGTTGCTATATATTATGGCTCGAAATTAGGAAAACTGAGTTTTCATGGACAGTCCAAAAGTATCCAGAAAGTCGATAGATTTCTGTGGTTATCTCTAGATTTGCGACAAGTCGCAAATCGCTCTAAAATGTCGCTAGAAAAAAACAAAAAGCTTTAGTATTTGCCAACAGTGCGTGACAGAGACGTGACCGATCGCCCGGGCGGCTAGCGAGCCGACCTTTTGGTGAAGAATATAAAGGAAAAGAGACGTGACCGATCGCCCAAGCGGCTAACAAGCCGATCAGTGGCGAAGAGGATAAAAGTAAAAAGTAAAGTAAAAGTAGATCTAGCTACAAAGTCGCTAAGTTGGCAACTCTGCTCGGCGGGTCGGCGGCAGTGTTGGTAGATTAGCCATTTTTGCTACATCTAGCCAGAAAATATTACATCTAGCTGATAGCCGAAAAAAATAGCCGAAAATCCACAAGGTTTGGCCATTTTCTGGCCATTTTTTAAATTAAATATTATTATGAATTTGTTTATTTCTCTTCATTTCAGTTTTAATGTTATTGAATACTCTAACTCTAACGCTATTGAATATTCTAACAAATGGTTAGAGATGAAAACACATTTAAGTATCGCAAAATAGTGTGAAAGGTGCAATACATCAGAAAATTAGTATGCCATGTACAGTGATGAATTCAACCTTGCCTATATGCTCTTTTTGAAATCTGTTTTAAGTGAAGTTCAAAGAGTGAACTAGATATTTGAATCTAATGACTGTGATCCTCCAAAGTTATTGGACGATCTGACACTTCTGATTGAAACGCTAGTGAATATTGATACTACCTTCTCATTGAAATCGCATAGATCCCTTCACCTGCAACTTTGAGGAGTATGTAGTGGAATTCTCCCCTACAAACGCTGTTTGTCGCTGCCTAGCCGACCCCACCAATTCCCCAGTGTATGCCTCGTGGTCTAGGTCAACCAGCGCCGCCATACACCACGGAGCGGGGGTCAACTGCTAAGCCACGCCTACCCCCGCTATTTAAGACCTGACCTCGTGGTGATCTCTCTTTCTACCTACACCAACCAGCCAGCAACACCTGCGCCTGCCTGGCGGTCCTCGCTCCTCCGCCTGCCTGGCGGTCCTCTCTCCCGCTGGCGAGCATGGCGACCCACAAGCTGTCCTTCTCTGAGCGTCCTCACCAACCAGCTCTCTCTACATCACGCTTGTAACCATGCTGCCTTCCCAGCACCAAGCTGCATTGTACATCCAATACAACATGTATATAGAGAGCACATTGTGAGTTTCCTTTCTCCATTCCATCCTGAGTGTGAACCAAACATCTTGAACCCCACAAATGGTGACTCCCGGAGATTCGCACTCACACAGGATGGAGGAGAAACTGATCACGCTCCCAGTCTTCAAGCAACATGGAAGACTGGCTTATCCACCCAGAAGCAGCTCTCATCGGCTCTACAGCTACTGTCTCTACACCGCAGGTCAGACACCCTAGAGCAGCTCTGCTACTCTAAGCAGACAGCCGCTCCTCTTCCTGCCCCAGGCACCACGTCCAACCGACCCCAGCACACCCGTCCTGCCTCAGACGCCGACCCCGGCCCAGCAGTAACCCATGCCGCCCCTGATGCGGCCTCTGTTCCTGAGTGCGGACCCACACACCCCTCTTTTCTCCCTCAGGTACTCCCTGCTAATGTCCTGCACCCTGCTGCTGTCGTGGACCCAGCTGCTGTCACGAGCCCTCATCCGCTGCTGCTGACACAGCCCCTGCTCCTGACCCAGGTCCACACACCCCAGCAGGCGCATCTGTCGACTCTGTACCTGCCGTGAGGGAAGCACAACATTCATCGCCTCCACACACCCTTATTCTCCCTCTCTACTCCCACAGATATTGTGTATCTAGACAGTTGTATCCAGCGACCGGCTCATCACGCCATCGCCGTTGTCTCACATGAGGCACGCACCGCCCGTTCTGCCTCACATGTGCTATGCAACTCTGCAGACAACAAGTCTCCTACACAGCCTGGAGGGAAGGGGGAGTATTGTAGTGGAATTCTCCCCTACAAACGCTGTTTGTCGCTGCCTAGCCGACCCCACCAATTCCCCAGTGTATGCCTCGTGGTCTAGGTCAACCAGCGCCGCCATACACCACGGAGCGGGGGTCAACTGCTAAGCCACGCCTACCCCCGCTATTTAAGACCTGACCTCGTGGTGATCTCTCTCTTTCTACCTACACCAACCAGCCAGCAACACCTCCGCCTGCCTGGCGGTCCTCGCTCCTCCGCCTGCCTGGCGGTCCTCTCTCCCGCTGGCGAGCATGGCGACCCACAAGCTGTCCTTCTCTGAGCGTCCTCACCAACCAGCTCTCTCTACATCACGCTTGTAACCATGCTGCCTTCCCAGCACCAAGCTGCATTGTACATCCAATACAACATGTATATAGAGAGCACATTGTGAGTTTCCTTTCTCCATCCCATCCTGAGTGTGAACCAAACATCTTGAACCGCACAAGTATCTCGAACCAAAACTGGATCTTGGATATGAAACTGAGAAAATTTTATCAGAATTGCCAGGGCATTTGTCTGTGGAGCGAGAGCAAAACTTTCGAGAACGATGCTCTAAAATAAATTTAGTCGAGATTTTTTATCAGCCTCATCAAGCAACTTCGCCAGAGATTCCCAGATAATGTAGGCTACGAGTATTGAAAACAATCACTGTTAAGTGTTTCAAATACTTTGCGTGTAGTAAATAACTCTATTGCCCCTCTTATAGAATCTTTGAGTGTTAGTGAAGAAGACATTACAAAAATTGAACTCCAGTGGTCAAATATTGCACTAGTAAAATGGTGTGAAACCTAGGACACGGTAAAATTCTGGGCTGAAGTCTGCAAGTAAAAAGATTCTTCAAACTTGAATCCTTACCTTGAATTGTCATCATCTGCATTAACTATCCTAACTTTGCCACACTCCAATGCAGAACTCGAAAGTGTTTAGTCAAATAAACTTGGTTAAGAGCAAGCTAAGGAATAAAATGAAAACAGACACCATTAATGCATTACTTCACATTCACTATGGCCTGAAGAGGATGTCAGAAACTTGCGTAACATATGACTTTCCAATTTTATTTTATTTATTTTTTTTTTTTTATTGGGCACCCCCCTACATCCTTGTGTAAGGTGAAGCGCAGAAGCGTTTACAGCGCCAAACAGGGAAGCATGCTTTATGTCTCATGAGTTAAGGGCGTAGAAGCCTGAAGAGTCAATGGTTTTTTTTATGTCTAAGCAAGTTATTGGAAGCTCCAACAACTTGTCCCTGAATACGAATTCGCAACTTTCGATTTACAGCAGGTACCTACTTTGCTGCTAGGTGAACAGGGACCAAGGGAGGCTAAGTGTGTCCCAACAACTTTCCACCGGCCCGGGAATCGAACCCGTTATACTTGCCAAATGATATTTTCGACCTTGTAACCTCAAGTCATAAGTATGAGCAGTCAAACAAAAATGCATCAGACAAGCCTTCAACATCGTCCACTGATGAAAATGAAGATGACTTGCTAAACAATATATTACAAGATGTGACTAACTAAAAGGTAAGAAAAGAGCTAGCATGGAAAACATTTATTCAAATACGTAGTTTCCTTCAATTTTTATTTAAATGTGTATGCACTGAAGAGTTAGCCACATTGTTTTCAGTTTAGCCAGATTCAAACCATTTTTTACGCTTGGTATAGCCGATTTTGCGAAGAGCCATCTGGCAACACTGCTCGGCGGAGGAAAGCCCCGTCAAGTCAGGGTAACCAACTGTACGGAGTTCTCTATGATATACAGTAACTAACTGAACAATCATGTCCTCAAATACTTGCACTATGTTGAGGTGTTTTGTGACATTCACAGTTCTGGTATAATTGTTGAATTACCTGAAGAGGTTTTTAGAAATAAAGAAACATGAGAGAAATTAATATCATATTTATATGAATAACACAGTTGGTGGTTCGTGCGTGCATCTGCCACACGTCCAGTACAGGATCTCTGAGAAAGAAAAAAAACACACAAAAATAATGAAGTAATGTTTATTTTTAACTCGAGGGCGGACACGTGGCAGTGGGTCTGTGAAGGATAATATAAGTTACAAGTGACCAATATTAATGCCAAACTTAACTAGTAGTGTGCATCCTGGATAAAAATGGACTAAATATGCAGACGCTACCTGACCTAGCTTGGAGAATGACATG